TAGATATATGGGTATTGTTATTGACATATCCATCCATCAACACCCATGCCCTTGCGGTATTATACTTCGATATCTCATCAATGCAAATCAAACTGAAACGATAGAATTTGAGAAGCAGATTACACAACTTCTAATTTATAGTTATCGACCATTTGTATATTGTAACTAAATCTCTCTGGCGATGTTTTCCCAAATATTATCAATTAACTGTGCAATAGTACGATTTATTTAGAATTCACAAGTTAATATACCTCATGAATGGTTTAACTGATGTTAACCGATTGTAAAGATATATAAGGGTGTTACAGCCTGCCTGACTGGTCAAGGAGGATTTCTTTTTTTCTTGCAAAGACTTAATAACAACTTCTATTTGGAAAGAAAACACAAACATTTATGCCAGGGGAGAAAAGAGAGAGAAGTCGAGAACAAAGAGAAAAATACCATGCGTCAACATGTAATGGATATAACGAACAAAATTCTTATTTGTTCATTTACACAGGGCTGATTGAAAAAGAAATTTAAGAAGAAGTCAATTATCAATAGAATCAGAAATCATCTATTTTTCATGAGTGAATGCAAATGAACGAAATAGAAAAAAAAATAAACAATGTTCATGTAAAACGGGTTGTAAAAAAACGAAAGTTCAGTAAAATTAGCATTGTAGTACAGAGCTGGAATCTGTCCGAAAAACCAGTACGAACACTCAATCGGACTGGTAAAGACTGGAAATTCACCCGTTGAAAAGTTGTTAAAATGACCTTATCTAGCTGTCTTTTTATCAAAAAAATGTTTCATATATTTTTCTGTCAAAATTACTCAGTCACGTGGAATCACGAAATCCTTCGGAAACTGCTGGCAACACAAAAGTGTGCTGCAGTCTAGTATGAATATTGATTGAATTCATTGAGGCAAGTGCAAAGAATAGTGGAATGAAGGATAGTCAGTGCACGTGAAGGTGAGTCATCGATGTCGACCGATTCACGACATCCTACGATAACAGAAATTCTTTCTTTCCGCTTTGCTTCTTCTTTCCTTTCATCTCGTCCGCCGGCTTAGCAAGCGCTTCACTCTCCTTTTCTTGATATTGCACCATTTTCTCGTTCTAACTCGAAAATAGTCGCATTTCAAATCGTACCGCCGCTATCTTCTGCTATGATTGATTCTGATAATTTACAATCTGGCCAGATGCAGTGCAAGTTACGAGTCAAGGAATTCGTTCTTGTGAACCATATTTCTTTTGTCGCTGAACCGGTTTAGCTTTTTCCAACCGGCTTCAAATCTGTTGTAGTAATTCGATAAATAGATCTTATTAGTCTAATAGAGTCATTTTTTAAATCTCGCACAAATTTGTATATAACACTACTGTTTAGATATGAATGATGAATGAGCCTCGTGTATTATTATTGAATTCAGTTCGTATAAAAACTTAAAGACAAAAGTGACATTAAAGACTTCTAAGTGAAATAGCATATTTTGTTTCACAACCTGATATATATTAATAATAAAATGTTAACTGTAACTTTCAGATTATAAGTATCAAAATATTTTCTAAGATAAAATTCTGATCCTAAACCATAATTTAGATTCTTCGCCAATATTTTCAACTTAATGCAAAAGAAAATTATATCTTGATACGGACTTTCCTAATTCAAAGATCGTTTATTTTATTTAATAAACACAAAACACGTTTTATAACAATTAATATTACATATCTTACAATCATTGCCATTCTAGATAGAGATTATCAGCTACACATTTAATTGTATAATTCCATTGAAGTTTTCAAAATTAATCATTCTTTTTAATTTTTCAATCATTTCATCATCTGCTGCTGGAACGCGAAAGCACAATAAATGAAGGTATTCATTACAATCATGTTTTATTTTTTCCAAAATATATTGTAGGACAGATTTTAAATCCATTTGTTTTATATAATCCATTTTGAGATATTCCATATAAGGTCATAAGTTCAAAAGAAAAGAAAATTCTTCAATTTCATTCATTGATTGAAGATATACTTTTCTAACTTTACTTTTATAATTCATTGAAAGGTGAGTAATCAATTCTTTAGAATTTAATATTATTGGTTTATGTAATGATAAAGAATGAATTTTTAATGTAGTAAGTTCTGGTAATAAACTTACATCTTCAATTAATGTACCAACATAGACATTTTCTTCTGTAATTTCCAAATGGTAAATTTGTGCTATAGTTAAAATACGTGTCGTATTCATCATTAAGGTTTCATGAAGATATTCAAGCTCAATATATGTCATAGTTAGTCGAGTAGATTTAGAATATTCACCAGAAGACTTTAAAATTTTATCTTGTGTAATTTCGTACCATCTTTTTCTAACAGAAAAACAAAAACAAATTAATATTTCATTAAAAAAAATCTTCTCGATGTACCTGTATGGACAAACTAAATAATGAATAGATTCATGATCGATTTCAACTTCAAATGTCTATTGTCGTTCAATCCAAAATGATGAAATTAATTGATCTGGTCTTCCAGGATTTTCATATTCGACGTCAAAACTTTCAATATATCGTAAATAAAATTCTTTCAATTGAGATAAACACTTTAAAATTAGTTGTTCCCATCGATGAGCATTAAGAAAATTTAAGTCTTGAGATTGAGTAGTAACACGTAAAATTTTTAATTTACCATCTATTCTTCTGATAAGTATTTCAAATTCATCAAATTTTACATCACTCATAACTAATTAGTGAAATATATGTTAAATGTAATAATGCGATTGGTAATATAGTTTGAATATTTGTATCAATGTCAACACTATTACCAAGTTTCAGACGACGAAGTTGTGGTGTATATGAAAGAATTGTAAAAAGTTCATTGAAAGTCCAAAATTGACAAGTAGCAAGATTTTCAATAGTACTCAATTGTTGATTGGTAGCCATCGGAAGTGAGATTGCGATGTGTATGTCTAAGAAGAATATGAATGATTTTAATGTAGGTATAAGGTGAATACTAATCGATAAATGTCATTTAAATTTTCTGACACATCCGGTGGATGGATAGTTAAGGAGAAAAGACGAGGTAGACAAGCTAAATTAATAAGAAGTGACATAAGTATATATACACGAAGTGATTCAAGATGACTTAGTAACGAATCGAATGTAAACCATGAAAAAAAGTTATTCTCTGTAAGTCCGAACCATAATTTGATTGAAAGCATTTTATGTTTGTTACGAAGGAGAAATTGTTTGTAGTTGTTCATGTACGATTCATTATATTTTGAATAATCAAGCTTAGTTTTATATAAAAGAGATGGAGAATCAAGAAGCTGTTGAAAACGATGATTAAGATTTGAGAATGCTTTATATATTTCATAACCATCAAGATAATCAAATACTTCATAGAAAAGTTCATTAGAAAAATATTCAATACAGGTTATGGTTTGATCAAAGTCATCTATTTATATAAAAAATACCAAAGAGAAATTTATATTTACTATTGGAACAAGTTACTTCGTAATTGTTTTGTTTCTTCATTTGATGATTGATTAAAAGTTAATTTTCGTTTAACTTGATCCATATGTCCCTGTTGGTAACAAGTTTAAATCGAATGAAGATAATTTATTTCGGCATGCATTTAATATAATACCTAATAATATAGCAATCTATATCTAAATTATATTAATATTTCCTAACTTAATACAGTAGTATCTATTCCGGTGAAAGAATACTTTTAAAAAAATTGTTTAATCTAATTTTTTAATTAAACATCTTTTAAATCAATTAAATTTCTCAATTAAAAAATGTTCTGTCTTTTAATTTAATATATTATCACTTTTAACAAATGACTATCAATCAATTTATCGAGTTATCTAATTAATTTGAACGTAATCTATAATTGATTAGTACTTATCAATTAATTGAAAGAGTATATATGAGCTAGGAATGACGATGAGTGATAAGAAAAAAGTTAATTTAAAAAATATAAAAAAAATATTCCATTAAAAAAATGGCAGAAGCATTATCAGATGATGATAAACAGATTCAATAGACTCTGTTGTACCAGCTTACAGAGAAGAAGCAACAGATGACGATGGTGATGAGGGTGATATTATTAACTCAGCTAAGAAGATGAGAGCATCCGGCTTATCATATGAAAAAGTGAAAGTCTTCTCTGATGGCAAATGTGCTGAAGAGGAGGCTG